TGAAAAATATTATATGAAGGGGCAAAAATATTCTCCAATTTAGCTAGATCATTTATTGGGGGGGGCAGCATTTTTACCCCCCCCATTTTTTTCCAGTATAAAACTTGTGGCAGAGACTGGAATTTCTAACCGTAAAATTAGCACAAACAAAAGCAGTTCTAAAGATGGTGAGTAGGTGTTTTGTAACAGTGGCTATATCCAGTCACCATGTTTTCAGTTAACTGTACAATATTTTTTAGCAATAAAACATTTTTAACAAAAAAAATCAAGAAAACGAGTGAATGTGTAATTCTTCTTTTTCTCTGAAACATAGCTTTAAATTCTGTTACCTATCCTATTTACATCTACGCCAAACTGAAAGCTGAAGTCTTTGCAAGATCTACTCACCTACAGGAGCAACAACTTTGGACTATGTGCTTGGGTAGCTCTGTAACTGTAGCACCCTCTGCTGCTCTTTTAGTTCCAAAACATGTAATTGTACACTCAACCAAGTAGAAAATAAATGCATATATGTTGAACGTGTTGTTCCTAGTAAATGGTTACACTATTAACTAATGCCATACGCAGTTTAAAAGAAAATATTTTGCTATTACATATAGCATATTTGCAATTTTATACTACTTGAGCACTCTGGAATATCTTGTTTCTGTGTTAACATCAGGTAGATATTAGATGAAAATCCCAAAACATGCTGTATTTCATTGCTTAAAATTCTCCTTTACAGACCCTGTAGCTTGCTTAGACTGGTGGCAATCAGTGAAGAGGCTTATACTTTGGCCCATGACCATTTAACTTAATTTAAATGTATGCATAATTTGAAATTATTACTGCAGGGATATAATTATACAAGCATTTCAGTCATAACTGCTTTCTCCCACAAGCAAAGGCAGGCGAAGGTGATACTCTCAAAAGCTCATTCTTGCAAGATTTTCCTTGCTTTTTGGATAGTCTGTTGCAGAAGAGATTTTTCTTCTGCAAGCATGAGCATGGCTTGTGGCTCCTGGAGCTGACTGACGCTATCCCACAATGCCACCACTGAACCTTCTGCCTGGGATCCATCAGCTCTTTTAAAGGACTATCTTAGGACTAGAGATGGTCTCAGGATGTACCATCTTTTTAACAGATGGCATACTGTTGTTTAAAATGAACAGACTGATCCTTTCCTTCATTCCAGTCCTCTTTTCCCTGTCTCCGGTTTATGCATAAAATTAAAGCTGAATGAAGGGCATTTAGCACTGCATCCTGTCTGCATCGAGAATTCACTTAGAGTTTTCACATGGAAACTGCTCTCTGAGAAAGGATGAACAAGAGAGAAAAAAAATTCACATTTTTCTGGGAAAGTGAAGACCAACTGTAATTTGTAGTGTGCATTTTCATTCACAGTAGCAATCCTACAATCAAAATGCATCTTCGGAAATCTTTCTGAAACAGACAGAATACAAGTGTAGGTACCAAGTTTTGACACAACACTGCACAGAGGCAATTTCCAGAGTTAACACTTGGGACTCTGCAATACACCATTTACAGCTACCACAGTTGGCTCCACTTTTGTTCTGAAGTCGTACTGGTATAAAGCAGCATTTTTGGAAGCAGTCACAAGTACTCCTCAAAAGCTGCTTATTGATATTTTATATAATGCTGCCAGCTAGTGGTACATCTTGTACTGAGTTGCTATCTACTGGGAGTGTAGAGAAAGTGGTATTAACTGGAGTCTGCTCTGCCACTCTTCTTTTGATGGTGTATGGTGATGTGGCTGTTTAAGACCATAAGCAGGAAGATCAAAAAAGTGAAACAAAACGACCACAGAAATGCTCCCTGGAAGAGCTTGTTTTAACACAAGCTACTTAGGAACATAACTAGAAGAAATAAAACTCCCCCCAAAACCACACAAACCACGTTATTTGAAACAAATGAGTATGTTTAAAAAGGACATAATATGCAACATGTTTCAGTTTTTACAAAATCTGTTTAATACACAACTATGTCAAACTAATAACCTCTAGCAAAACATTAACCTTCCTGATAAATACTCAATATGGCAGTCAAAACAAACACACAGAACACTAAGATATTTAACTCTTTTCTGATAACTTGGTCCAAATTGTTTAAATTAGTTTAGTGCCCAGTAAAGAAATTCTGCCTATGCAGTGTGTCCTAAAAGAACATTGAAGTCTATAATTATTAAATGGGTCCCCTCACAGAGCATGCCACTGTAGATGGGACTGATAACATGTTCAATACTTGCTAGTTCCATTAATATTAGGTATTAGAAGAAATAATCTAATAGTGTTAAACACCATTTTAGGAATGTTTGGGGTTTTTTTTAGGGTAGAATATCATTTCATAATATGAAGTTCTTGAAGAACACCACAGCAACTGTAAAAAATAGTCGACCTAATTTTAGAAATACTACAGCTATAGTTGCCCTCAGAAGTAAAAAGAGGCAGGATTCCTGTCTACCATTTCTACTGTCGGTTAACACAAAAAGAGCCAAGAAATACACAGAAAAAGGTCAAAGAAAGAACCAATTCAAATGAAAGGAAATGGGAGTGCACACAAATTCAGTCAGGTACAATCCAAACAGAGCAGCTCAGCAAATACATGGTTGGGGGAACTTTACTATGATGGTGTGACAGACACATAGTTGCTCTGGCTTGGGCACTGGGGACATTTACTCCATAAAGGTGGTAGCAAAAAAGTACAATTATTACACTCCAAGCCAGTACTTCATGCTGCCAGAGGATAACTAGTTTAGACTTACCCTAACAGAGGGTAATCTAGAGTGCTTAGTAAAATGGGTATAAATCAGTAATATATCCATACAGGCATACTTACAGACACAGACATTTAAAAATGGGGAAGCAGTGATTCTGGAAATGACTTCGCAAGCACTGTATATAATATCACAGCATGAACCCTCAAAGCAATACTGAATCCAAAAGGACAAATATGAATCTTTGTATATACAGAGAAACAGTAACGAGAACTACAAATGTCATATTACTTCTGTCTTAGGACTGGTGTTGTACCTATTAGAGTAGTAAGTCTTGTTCTACCATCTGTAATCAACAAAAAAGTAGCTGAAATACTGGAAAAAGTTAACAGAAGAGCTGATACCACATCTATCAATAGTAAAGCATATGAAAACTTTAGCAGAGTAATTAACTTGTGTTAATAAGGAAATTTGTGTAGATTGATCACAATCTAAGCATTCACACAAAGAACAAAAATTAAGAAATCATGTTACTGTGTTTAACAGAGTAAGGTACACTGTCTTAATCCAATATGTAAAGGTTAGTATTAAAGCACTTTTACACATTTTATCTGCTGTTCAAAATAAGTACCTGAGTTGTTCTCTAATGAACTTACACAACAATATTTTTTCTGGATCCAAAACCCCAGTTTGAATTTTTTTACTATTTTTTGCCCTTACTGAGAACAGTTTATAATAATAAAGGGACTTGTTAAAAAAGTCCCTCTAGCTTCCTATTCTCAGAATCTACAATATCAAATCTCTCTACATGCTTCCCATAATTTACGCAAAGCATTTTCTGAATGTTTTTATTGTCCAGCTCACGGTGCCTACATCTATAGCTGATGTCAACCATAACTACAAATGTGAATTTTCTTTCTCAGCCTGAATATTATTAATTTGGATATTCATATATCCCTTAGATATCACTTTCATTCAGAAATCAGAGAACAAATTTCTCTTTGGCAACAGTTAAAGACTATATTCTGAAGTATTTTGTGGCAGGACTACACACCTACCTTCAATGTTCAGAACTGAATGAAAACCAGCAAATTTTAAAACAGAGAGTGCATAGTTTATGATTTTTTTTTTTTCCATTTGAAGGCAAAGGTTTATTAACTAAATTGACCTTTTTGCTAATGAAAAAAAAAAGTTTACTGAAACATAACTTTGGAACACTAAGACTGGAGTTTTGAGATGAAACACATATATATCAGAGCAGTTTCTATATCATTGGTTTGATAAGGAGGACGAGATATGCACATTTCTTGAATATCTGGCAAACTTAGACCCCCCCCAACTTTTTTCTATCCATTTGCTTGTTTGAAAACAAACAAAAATAAACAAAAGAAATAAAGCAGAATAATCAAGTAAGAATTACGTGCATATCTGTAAATGTTAATTATATGATAGTACTTACTCGTTACATCAAAAATATTTAAATATTTTTGCTCAGCTTCTTTTCCATGATCTACTACAATTTTGTAATTCAAGTCCATTAACAGCACAGATAATTTTATTTGTAAGTATACTGAAGCAGAGCCATACTGGGTCAGACATTGAAGGTCCACTTATGGCTCATCTTGACTCAGGTTAATGCAGCCAGTAACTGATGCTTAGATAAGAGTGAAAGATCATGACAAACATATCATCCTACTGCCCCATTAATTCTCCTAACATCCAGCGCTTCCTAAGCCATAAGTGATGTCTTTATATTTAATAGCCACAGTGAATTTTTCTTACACAATTTTTTCCCCTTTGCTTTTTTGAATATATGTCATGTTCTAGGATCCAAAACATTCTGTGGGGAGGAATTTCACAACTTGACTGTGTGCTTTCTTTTGTTTTCCTCTGGTTTGAGTTTGCCCACTCCAAACTAGAAGTACCATTGTTTGCTTCCCATGTTCTTGCACTGTTGCTCCTCAGATAGCCACTGCTGGCCACTGGCCAATACAAACCAATGAGCTAAACTAATTTTTTGTCCAACCCAGTCCAGCTGCTCTAATGTTCCAACCACAGAACCCAAAATAATCTGTACTGGGATGACTTAAGGATACATCCACAAAAACAACTGTGCTACAGCGTAGCACATAAAACGCTATGGCAGGTAGACCTGTACCTCTGACCACAGTAATGGTGTTTCTCAGCAAAATGAAACAGTTATTGAAGGCTCATACAGAAATATTTTATATTGATAAAACTAGACTTCTATCAACATAGTACTGTATTTAAATAAACAATGACTTACAGACATTTCCCGTGTTGTCAAAACTTGTAAGAACATCTTTAACATTTAAGAGTCCATTGTGGAATCTGGAAGAAAACATAAATAGTGACTTTACCAACATATAAACAACAACAACAAAAAAATAAATCTTGCCTCTTCAGAAAAGAGGTTCACTTCTCACAAACCCCTTTCCCAGACAAGTAGCAAACAGGCACCATTGTAGCCACCAGGGGGAAAACAAGGGACAATCACTTGTCTTCAACGTTCTATCACCAAAATCCATGAATCAGGAACATCTTTCTCAGAAACTAATATTTTATCAAAAGGAAAACATTTCCAAAGAGCATCAGTTTTTGTTTAGTTGCAGAAATCACATATAGGAAAGGAATAAAGCCATTTCTTTGAAGAGGAAAAACAAAAGACTATTTTTGAACAGCAGCTGTACACACATTCCTATTTTCTCCCACAAAAATCAAGAACACTTCATTTAATTAATATGAACAATGAAACTGATTAATGTGTTCAGCAAACTACATTTTCTTCAGTTTTACATTTGCATAACCCAAGTGAAATAAACATTCAAAACTGGGCATAATAAATTAATTAACTGAATTTCACATACCAACTGCAAATTTTAGAACAGTGAGCAAAACACTAACAGCAGCAGAAAGCACATGCACCAAAACTGAATAAAAATTTGCCTAAGAAGCTTCCTCTAAATGTTATAGATGTCAGGCTAGCTGGATTCACACACACAGAAAAAGCAACTAATTTTTTTAACTATTCCAAGCTATTAACTGGGCTCAAAATGAACAAAATAATAAAAAAAAAATCTTACACTTTACAACAATCAGATCACATAGTTGTTTCACAAACGCACTAAAAAAAATCTAAAAAGAATTCAGCAAAGCAGTAAAATACAACCTTTTAATAATGTTTCAAATATAGCCTCTAAGGCTGTTTAGGAACATGCTAATTTGAAATATAGAAAAAATAGAAGAAATCCAAGAATTCTAGCACCTATAAAATTAGTTCTCATTCTCTCAGCTTTTCTTTCCTTAAAGGAGATCGTTGTAAGAATGAAAAAAAAAAAAAAAATCAACTTTATTGGTGCAAAAAAAAGCTATTTATAGCTTCTGATAAGCATAAGCATTAAATAAAGCAACATTTACATGTTAAATTTTGAGAAACACCAAACAGCAACTAGACTAATTCTTAAAAAAAAAAAAGAAAAACAAATGGAAATCGAATCAACAAACTGAAATGAGATCATAAACAGGGGCAACGAAATTTATGAAAGATGTTAGAAAAGGATCAACCAGACATTAGAGCTCTTCTCCCAGCTACTTAAAAACAAACCAAAAATACATTCTTTAGCTGCAGTGGAAACCTACAAGAATTCTGATGGATCATGTGGACTTAAAATGCACTTTTTCTTCTTTTTTTTGGCAAGTTTGTTTTCAATCAGATTGGACAACTGATGCAACAGAGTTAATTCAAAGGAAATGACAAGAAAGCGGACAGGATCAGTTCTGCCAACCCCAGAGCTGCCCTTTAAACTGTCCCCTGCTGACTCCTTAGCATCCTACAAACTCCATAACTGTGCAGATGTCTGACACAGTTAGGGTCTCTCAGACAGCTGGGAACATCTCATCTTCTAAATGAATGTAAGATGGGGGATGGGGGAGAGGAGATGCTGAGACAGTAAAGAAATATTTTAATCTTTGTTGGCATGTAGATTAGTCCTGGGATAACATGGTTTGGTTTGGTTTTTTTCTCTCCTCAACTTCTGTAGGTACATAGTCCATATATAAAGGAGATTTATCGTGCAAATCTCCAAGTGAGATAGGAGGATGAACAATTTAGCAATCTATCAGCTGCAGTTCAACAGAATGCTCTGAAGAAAGAAAAACAGAAGTGGAGTGTCCTGGTCGAGAGAATAATACAATTTATATACTTCAGGGTCAAAAGGTAGACAAAGGCGAAGAGAAATGATAGTACCATAGCACTGGCCCTAAAATCATCACTAAAGCAAATTTCAGGCTGTTTCCAAAATAATGGTTTATAACTGGAGATGAGAAGTGGACAGCTCCAAAGAATAAGCTAAGATTCCACAACAGATGCATGCCACACACTTACTGTTTTTAAGGTTTTCCTGAAATGTTGGTGATGTTTTATTTAACCCACTGAATGCTCTTCATCTATATCATTATTTTTGGTACACTCAGTTTTCATTAAGGATCAATTCTTTCTCTGATTCTAAAACATTCTTTCCATAATTAAAATCAACACACACAAATTTCAAACATATTCTTATATTCATTATTCAGTGGTCAAAAGCTTGTGGTGTGCAAGTACAAACACAACACACCCCAACGTTTGCTCTCTTGACCAGCAGAGGCGTTTTGCACAGGCACCCTTTTCTGGCTGCCTGCAACACTCAAAATCTCTTCATCTAACCCTGTCTCAGCAATCTCTTTCTTGCTTTCACAAATATTGTTCGTGGCAAGCACATAAGTGAGCCATAATTTAATGATGAGAAGCATCCAGCTTTGCTAGGAGGGACCTCCCCCTTCTCAGTCTTCCAGATGCCCACTCCACACTCATCGTGAAACAGGACAGGGTTTAACAGCTGCTTCCTTTAGTCTGATCAGCTTATGAAACCTTCACTAAACAAAAGCAGGGAGCAAGCTCAGTCTCCTAGCATGAGAGGAGTAGCCATCATCTCAACAGCAACCTGGAGAGCAAAGCCACTGTCATTTACTCCAAAAATCACATCTCGGGTCTTAACTACATTACTGTTTTGGACTATTTTAAGACTACTCCCCATTAGTAACAGTGAAACTTCCCAAGTCAATTAGCATGATAGGAAAATACCTCTTCTTGCTGATAAAGCTTTTTCTCCCTGCACCAGGATAAAGAAAAGGCACTTAAATTCCACTGGTAACCACTTAACAGTTAGGGAACCCAAACAGTGAAGAACTGGGCATAACTTCTACTGCAGACAAGTTTTAGGACTGAGGAAAGCAACGTGCCAACAGCTGATCTACTTGTGAAAGGGAGAGCTCAGGGAGACACACTTCGAAACAGCAATAGCCACGTTTCTCCATTTGGAGGACTGTATTTGTAGAGCCTGTAGACAAACTCTGCACCAGCTACTGCCCAACCTTTTCTCACAGATCTGACTTGCAGGCTAAAAGTTACATGCACCTGTAAATACAGGTATTCTCTAACCCCAAATTCTGCCATAAATTTCACGCTACTCAGTCCTGCACCTAAAAACCGCAGCTTCTGGTTTGGGATCAACTGCGCTGCATGTACCTCCCCAGCAGCTCCGTAAGAGATGCTGTTTCACTGTCCCGACCCATCCCATCAGCTGCTCCTCCATTATCGAGCACAGAGAAAACTGCCAATACACATCACATCTTATTTCTGTGAATGCCTGTCATAATCAGAGCTTTCACCAGTATGCCTTACAAACTGCCCGTAAAGAGTTCGTGTCACGTGCACTGAATTACCAAAGTCAAGGAAAGGAATCACAGAAGCTTGTGGTTAAATCCCAGGCCCAAAATTCCCATAAATTTCTACAAGCAACTCAAAATACAGAAGAACATTAGTATTTAGTGCTTTGGAATATGTCACAAATGCTGTACAGTTCAAAGAACTTCAAAGCTGTGATTGCTGAGACCAAAGTACTTCAAACAAGCGTAGGTAAGCATCACGGAGAAAGTGAACTTCAGACCAGCGCGGTTAATCTGATCTGCAGTGTTCGTACTATAAGTCTTCAAAGTACAACATCCAAAAATTTCTACAGCTGAGGCAGAAACTTATAGAAGACAAATCTACAAATGATAAACTAATTTAACTCATGTTTCTCCAAATACAAAGCAAAGCAAAATTTCTTACTCTGGACTATGAACAAATCGACTTTGGATGCATAAATGAAGTCAGAGAGAGATATGTATTTAAAATATACTAATGTTCCTTCCTCTCCGATTCAGGCAATACAAGTGGCAGACTTTTACACGTATTTATAAACGACTATAGACAGCAGAATAAAATAATCCTGCAGTAGCTCCCTATTAATGTATGTTTTTCATCAACGATAATGAAACAAAACTATGCTCCTTCTTTTACATTATTCTTCAACTAAATGAGGAAAAATAATACAAATAACAAAATACATATAGTAAACTTAAACTACAAAAACTAAGGTAGACTACATTTCCATATAATACTCCAAAGAAAGAAAACCACAACACACCACAATACATTATTAACCTGAATACAAAATAGAAGTACAGTATTTGTGGAAAATGAAAGACAGGATAAGGGTGAAAAGTTACTGCTGAGGCTTTGTAAGTGCTAAACCTTTTTGTAAGGCAAAAGGCTTGGTGAGTGTCACCATCAATTGTCATTGCAGCCCTGTAAGAAACTCAGAGCCATCTGCAAACTTTTTTACCTGATCAAATGTTTTTTTCTGGGCCAGATATAGCAAAACAAGGTAACTCCTCTTTCACTCCAGTTCAAGATGTCAGCTTAATATGGTAAGAAACCAAAACAATGGCTTCTTTGACTTAAAATTGTTTTTACAAACACATGTCTTGGGCAATATGATGGAACAGTCTTAGTTTCATCAGTGAATGAAAGTAGCATGTTACCAAATCACTTTTTTTCTCTTTCCTCAATTTCCCGCTCCTGTGGCCAAGCTTTTATGCTGCTAAATCCACATCATGTCTCTTAGCATGCAATAAATGGAAGAAAGTAAGTTTATCATAGCAGCACGAATTGTCCATAAGGATTAGGCAATATTTCTTGAAATCTGCTTCCTTTCTTTTTTTTTATGTCTATCCCTAAAATAAAAATTCATTAAAACTTCAAAACGTTTGATAGCGGAAATATCCTATAGGAATAGCCAATGCAATTCACTCGTAACCCATTTTCTAACATACCACTTGCCACAGACAAATAACATGCCTCTCATTTCTAAACCAAAGGTCCAGAATCATCTAATAATTTCTTTCATATTTTTATCTAAAGGTTTATTCATATTCACAATAAAGGCATGATACTTTGTAAAGAACACTTAACACTCTTCACAAAGATTTAACCCTTCCTGTAAGCTGCTAACATTGTTCTTCTCCATTCTGCATTTTAGTATTTGAAACGCCAAATGACTGATCAATGGAAAATATTTTACCACAGAAATAACTTATTTCTTCTCTAATTGCTTAAAATGAGCCTACAATTTTAAAGTAAATCCATATCCTGAAATAGAAAATTTGAAGATATTGATTGCTCCTTTTTTAACTCTAATAAAAGAATAATTTTCCTGTCTAAAAGACAGACACCATCTCCACAGTGAGACACTACATCTTTATGATCTATAATCACTTCATTACTAGAACTATTCACATAAAATTTAAATGTAAAAGCATATTCCTGACTAAGAATAGAAGGATTTAGAAATGCAACATTAAATAAACATTTTAAAATGTCTCTACTTACTTACTCTGTATCTTCCTATCACCAAGAAAATAAGTATTTAGCACACAATTTTTAACAGCAAAATGAAATACCTCCAAAGTTAAAAAGAACTTGAACCACGCTAACAAACATCAAAGTTTTACAAATAAAACCATATTTTTAATAGAGAAAAGATCCAGAAGGCCAGATAATATCTGTAATGAAACATAGCCTTTTCCACTTCAAGCTTGCAAGAAATTTCACTCAAAATGAGATCTATATTTTTCACCTGCAGACTAGATTACTCAGTTTACTGCATTCAAATGTGAACATGAAAACTGCAGCAAGATTCCAGCTTGGCTAACACATCTGCATTCTCCACATTAGACTGCCATAAACATTCAGTCTGATTCCCAGGCTAACTTCCTGTCCGCTTAGGGATTTATTTTTTTAACTAACATTAATTTCAAACAGCACTAGAGAGCAATTTCATGTATGTAGCCACCCAATTCACATCATCAAGACAAGGATGTAGTGTGCAGGAGCATCAAATATGGTATAAATTCAAATTACACTAGAATAATCAAATGAGATTCTGAATTATAACACAAGAAATTGCATTTTGACACATCTTCCACTCCTACCAAAAAAAAAAAAAATCATACTCATCAGACACTCCTTTTCATACCCCAGAGCTACCGCAAAGCACCTTAGTATCTTTACAAACTTTAAAGAGGCCACCTTCCACCATGTATTGTGAATCTACATTTCATTAAGCACACTAGAGATCACTGTTTAACGAGAAGAGTCAATGATGTTGTCACCTCAAGGATCTAATCAAAACGGCACATAAATGCAGCTTAGTTTTTTTAAGAAGAAAATGCCTTGTATTGGTGCTTCTGGCTTCCTGCTTTGAAGGATTCGTTACTAAGAATGATTCTAAAAACAAACTAGTGACAAAAAAAACATGGCATAAGCTCTTCTTTCCCGAATGTCAACCCAACCTGAATTTGGTTAGAAAAATAGTAGCTTATTAAAACAAGCTGCATTGAGAAGTTCAGAAAAGCATGCACATGACTGGTAGTTCCTACTGAAGCTTCTTTTTGCCTAATAAACTGGTCCCCAAGTCCCTTGAGAGCAGTAATTCCAGCTAGGTCATAGCATATCTGAATATACAATTTGATCAGTTTTGATAGCCCTTGAACTGATATAGCTTGACCTTTATACTCTTTGCCAAAAGCCACTAACAACCTTATGAACTTTCTTAAGTATTTAGTCTTGTCAAGATATTAGCTGACAACCCTTTTAACATCCAACATACGCAATGAGCTTTCCCAAGAAGATGTTAATGCATACGGAAAACATATGTAGATGAAAATTCAAAAGCACTTTTGTCAAGATTTTAGAGGGGCCACAGCACCATTTTTTTCCTGACAAAAAGATATATAAAAAGGCTCTCCTACTCAAGCACACTGTTCTGGGTTTACCTGACTGATGTTACTGTTAGTAATATGCTAATAATATGCTCTTGTTATCATGTTAAAATAATTTCTATTGATTAAAATTATGATAATTAATATTTTGCCATTGAGAGGAGAAAAATGAAGGGAAGACTGTCAGACATACAGAGGACCTTTAAATTTCCAAGACATGATCAGTTCTCAAAGATCCAGGAATGCTTATTCTGAGATTTCTTATCTTCTAGATAAGCAAGTTTCAGCGAGGACAACTGTTGCTCTGTTATGTACATTAAACTGTTATGCTTACCCTCTTAAATTACTGCTTCTGCAAAAACAGAGAGGAACCTTTATTTAACACAGACTTAAGGTAAAGTAGATTTTGTTGCAGGATTTATACTTTGTCCTCGCAAAATACACAGCAAGTATTTTCTCCTTCCCTTCTCCACCTTCCTGCAAGATTCTGAAATCATAAGTATATACAATCTATGGCCACTCAATATATAGAGAAAACATTTTAATACAGAAGTGTAAGTTGTGATCATTATTGCTAAAATGATCAGTGATTACCATTTTTAATAGATCACTGAGTATCACTATTCTAGAACAGAACAAAATACAGGGAAAAAATAAAAACAAAAAATCCCTACCAGGAGACAATCTCCCTATTCTCCTCAATAAACAGTTTTTGAAACCCAATGTGAGCCTGCTTCAGCACAGGAACTGTACATTTCCATTGGCCAAGGTCAGAGGAACATAAAAGATTAAAAAAAAAATCCCCATACTTAGAATACCATATAATGATCACCAGTAATAAAATCATGCATAAACAAACATATTTGTTTGCAGTCTACAGTTTAAGCTGTGTCCTACTATAAGTGAAGCTACTGTTAGCCAAATAGAAATGCCAAACAAAATGGTGACATGGGAAGTGATGGAAACACAAGTACACAAATACCAAATGTCAGAGCAAGATCAGTCTGACATTCCCTTAGTTTTTGTACTGCTGGCACAGATGAACTTCAGCTTGCCTCCTACCTTAAAACTCGCACAACTAGTAAATCAAGTGACACCCAGTGTTGCAAACCATGGTAGTGAACTAAGGAGACTGAATGACAAGTTCAGGACTGCAGCATAAAGGATTGCAGACTTGCTCAGCCTAAATTCTAACTAATCACCAGTGTGCCTCTGAAGACCTAAAAGCAGGGACTGCACAAAGAGTAGACTGTGAGCATCTGGATAAATCTGCACCATTCCCCAGCAGTTCATTGGAAAAGTCCATACGCAGAAAAAACACTGTACCTACATCTCTTACAAACAGGCAGTATTTTCAAATGGAAAAGTTCTCTTTTGAAGCCTCCTAGCATCAATAAGTATAAGCTTGGAAAATGAAAAATTAAGGCTTTATAAAGCTCTGAATAATTTTGTATTTGACTTTTCACCCAGCTGCAAATTTAAGGCAACCTGCGTTGGTTTTTTGTTTGGGTGGGGTTTTTCTGTTTGTTTGGGGTGTTTTTTCTTGTTGTTTTGTTTTACAACCTTGCAAAAATGCCACTTAAAGATGGTAACTTGTTTGTGTTAGATCTTAGTTTCTAAGACTGACTTTAAAGGTCCCAGTTAAATAAAAATGCACTTTACAATTATGATGACTCAGGCTCTCCAGAATATCTTCTACTATGCACAGAATGCAAAATCCTACACCCTCAGCAGGGCTAATTAGGGGCTGCAAAACAAGTATTGATTCAGGGATGCTTAAGTTACTGTTGCAACGATACCTATTGAGGCAAAACCAAGTTATAGATATGTACAAAACTGAACAAGGAAAAGGAAACCAAAGCACGAGAAAAGGGGTAAAAAACACCAACACATAGTAATGAATGGGAGCTCTAAACGTTACTGTTTTGCTAAAGCTACTGAGTATTCATTAATGCTCCTTCAAAGGGTTATTTTTGGGGGGTCAGGGTTTTTTTTGCGGGG